AAGACGATTTAACTGCTCCGTCATTAAAGAGATCTAACAGAAAGCTTATTTGAAATTTAAATAAAAATATTGCCTATTGATGTGTTTTGGAGTGAAATTAAAATAATGTTGTGACTATTGTTATAATGACTATTGTATTCTAGCTAGCGATCAATCATGTAAATCATTACTTATTATAATTATTGGCTCACAGGATATAAGATGAAGCTTAAATCTAACAAAGTAGAAAAATGTGTGATCTAGTTTTATTCTACATGAAATATTGTTGATTTTTTTTTTGCATTCTGTTTAGAATTCAGAGCTCGTTTGGTAGAAGCTGAAAAGGCCTAGCTGACAATAGGTGAGACCCACGGTGCTGTCTCTGCACTCATTCTTCATGTTCGGCTCTGTCTGTACTAGTGGCTGATGCTGCAGTTACACAGGAAGTGAGGTCAGTAAAAGTCTTAGGGTTGTGTAACGCACATTTCAGTTTACCACACATTTGGTGTGTTTTTGGTCTGATTCACTTCAACAGTGTGGGCTCTGGTCAGTTGTAGGAACTGTTCAACGGTGTTTTTATCTGGGCTTTATAACTGAGGACAGATTTACACCCGGAATCTCTGTTGAAAAGGTGTTGGTGAAGGATGAAAGAAAGGAACTGTCAGGTTCTATGACGCCTTCATTAAACCCATAAACTACATCTTCACTAAAGATGTGATTTTGTACTTTTCCCATCATGGCTTGTTGCCTTCCAGCTGTTGCATCTTATTAAATGAAATATTTATTAAATGAAAGACAGATTCCATTTAGCCTTCACTCACAGTTGGTAAAGTTTTGGTTTTACTGATCTCAGTAAAACCTAAAGTGATGTATGACATGGAATATAGTTGGGTTTCACAATGATTTAAATCTGTCTTACTCACCATGCTAACCTACTGTAACCATTAGGCTTAGTTGCTAACCCTAAGCATAAGTTACCATGGTGACTTTATCTTTATGTATCTTTATCCTAAACAGTTAAAGAGGAACCATCTCTTCTCTTTCCTAACAACTTAACTTTATATGGGGAAATGCTACGATTTACTTCTCAGATATATTGTATATATATATATATATATATACAAATATTTGGGAGCAGTCCAAAAATATTGCATGGGTCGTATTATTTCTGTATGTCTCTACTGTCAATTGTCCAATCCAATTGCATTCATAGTCAAATTGTCAATATGCTGTAGTTCACATTTAGGGATTTACTAATTCTGGCCAGAGAGTGATTTTTAGGGAAAAAAAACAGTTTGAAGTAAGGTAGGGAATTTAATCAAAATCTAATGTGTGAAGTAGAAATCAGCAGCACAACTTCAGTTAAATCCCCCACGAGTCAAATTCTTCTGAACTCAGGATAAAAGACCTAAATGAACAAGAACCTACACAGAAGCGCTGCTACACATTTTGGAAAGCTGAGTCCTGGATTAACCACGTGACCCTGGAGCATGAAAGCTAAGCTATCATCTCTGTTGGACAAAATGTCGGCCAACCATCTGATCAAATATGATTCTGGGAACTATTGTGTGGGAATGATTTAGAATCCTCTGTCAAATGATATATTTTTTCTAATCTTAAGAATAGAAATAAAATAAATATCAGTGGTATTTACATCTTCAGGGATTTTTCTTTTTTCTTTCAGGTATTTATATTTAAGGTTCTGCACTTTGGATGTGGATTTAATATGTTTTAAATGTCACCTATGTTGTCTCTCTTTCTCTTTGTCTGGTTTGTACCAACCAAGTTTTTGCACCAGATATAGTTTTAAACTTTTTAGAAAAAAAAAAAAACTGTTTTACTGAATCACAAAGATCCAATGGAGAATTTTGTTTTTGGTTGATGTGGATTACAAAGAAAGAATAATAACAGTGTCAACTCAAGGCTTTATTCAATAAGGAATTAACAAGTGGTACTCTAGAGCAGCAGCCTCTGAGACATGCAAATTTCCCTCTGCAGGAAACTTAAAAGGTATTCTTGTTCTCTGACAAAAAAAGGCACTTCAATAAATTATCGAATCTCATGTCTTCTGTCGACCACTCATCAAATAATAAATCAGATTGATTATAATGCACTAAAATGCTGTGATAATCAGCAGTAGCCATGAATGACATTATTGCGTAACCTGTGAGGTCCTCCTTAACAAATGACATTATTGCGACCAATCCAAAACCGAGAAGGGGAAAGAGGGAAGTGACATAACAAATCTTTAATTCCCTGTATATAAATGTATTATAAAGTATGCAAGAAATGACTTTTGTGAATGTCGTAAACAGAACTCCGTGTAGTTATTACACGCAGTTCTCTTTACGACATTCCTCACCTACACCATCACCCATGTTTCATCAGTCTGACATATGGCGTTAAACCAAATTCCGAACGGGAACTAGTTGGCGAGCCAAGCGGATAAATGACTTGTCACACGCCACACACACATGCGGAAGATGACGATTGTTTATATTTACCAAATGCATGCGATATATTGGATTGTGCTGCATTCACTGTCTTTTGTTTGTGTTGTTTTTATGGGATCTTTTTTTTCCCTTCATTCTGACTCCCAGGTGTCAGTCAGACTCGTCTGATGTTTTTATGTCCTGGATTATGATGTCACCACTGTTTGAGTAGCTGAGTGACACTGAGTCCTACTCTGTGGTAATGATAGTATGTGTTCAGACCTATGGCGACCTAAGTCACGCCATAGGAACTGAATACCAACTTAAGACGAGGACCCCTGTATTAAATGAGTGGCCTTC